ATCCGTTCGCCACCGGCGTACAAAATGTTTAGTTCTCGTCTGAATCAACTCGCGGAAAATACGTGGAAACTCGTTAAACAAACGGCGGCGGCGGTGATGTTTAACGATGTAACATCTCTCACGGATGTTCCCGCAACGGCAAAAAGGCAAAAGTTGTCTCGCGCGTGCGAAACTTGGAACGTAGTTCGTTCATTTACCGAGAAGCAAGAGTATAGAGTCGCCAACTTCCACTTCCTCTGCGAAAATTTCACTTCGCGGAAAACTTGGCGATCATTAATTCAGCCGAGTCCATAGTTCAACTACAACCATCCCCTGTGGCTAAAGATAGTCCGTCGCAACATAGTGGTATTGTCGATTACAAGCGCGCCAATGTCACCATTATTGGATGAAAGTCTACAAAGTGTCCTTGTAAAAAAATTCCCTGAGAATTCCTTCATTTTTCAGGTAATATGTTCAAAATTCCAGGTAAAACTAGAGAATTTTTAGATGGAACTTTTTCAAATAAGTCTTTTTTTGTGTGCCTTTTCTAATGCTTTTCACTCATACAAAGGAAAAATAAACCAATTAAATTTTAAATATTAAATTTAAGAATGTACTGAAAAGAACTGAATGACTTTTATAAGATAAGCATTTTTTACTTGCTATATTTTCATTTTCTATCATTAATTGCAAGAATTACAATAAAAAATGTGTACTCAGTATTTTTTGCTATGACAATGAACATATAATCAAGGAGAGAGAGAGAGAGAGAAATATATATATATATAATATATTTGAAACATATAATTCACAATCATTGGTCAATCAGATTGTCGATGCTTACAATATAAGAACGAAATGATCAAAAAGAGAATTTTTGAAAAAATTCCCTGAGTTCGAATTCCATGAGAATTCCCTAATTTTTCAAGGTAAATACAAAATCCCTGAGAATTCTAGTTTTTCTAGGTTTTTCCAGGGAGTAGATATCCTGGTCTACTACTAGGAGGATGCTAGATACAGGAATTATATGAGGCGGAAAATTATGGAACAGTTAAAAAAGTATCGCGCGAGTTGGCCGCTTGTCTAACCGACAATGTGTTTGCCCTCCATTTTATAACGAGATGCCGTAACTCTTGGCCATAAAATATTCGTCTTGTTTCATTTAATAGAAAAAAAGCATCGTATAATAGACAACTTTTATGATATCGCTTTAAGACGGAGCTTTTATATTGTAGTTTAAAGCTTTCGTAATATCTAATATGGTTTTATCAAGAAATTTGTATCTTCTGTGTTTCTCATTTTTATAGGGTTGCACGAGATATCAAGACTAGTCTTAATGTTATCTTGTCTTGTCTTAAAATTCGGGACAAGATCAAGATAAGATTTTTAATTAATTATCAAGACAATACCAAGACTAACATTGTCAAAATTATTGGTTTTTAAACAAAGCCAAAATACGTAATAATTGTGTATATGTAAATTAAATGAGAAAAAAATCATATTATACAAATATAAAAAATTTTATTTAATAAATGAAAATATTTATATTAACAAAAATTGAGGAATAATTAATACAGTAAACAAAATAAACAATATAACATTTTCCACAGTCATTTAGCTCATTAAAAACATTATATAGTCTTATGGGAAGTAAACGAATGACATAAATGACATAAATAATCTTAAATTATTATGTATTATAAAAATTATATATTGTTAAATATTATTTTAAACAATCACATTCAGTATTAGACAAAAATTGCTAACAAAAGAATTTGAAATGGATCTTTTCCAGACTAGAACTTTTTCCCTCGCATCGAACTTTTTCTATTTTCTCGTTTTCCCTTTTTCCTCGGTTGCGTTATCTTTCCGTGTGCGAAACTGACGGTAAAATAAATCCGAATGCGGATGCTATCGGGAACGGGACTATATTTGCAACGGGTCCAGTCGAGTGGCATCCACGTGAAACGACATTATTCGCACGAGAGCGCGAGCGTAACAAAAGTTGGACAATCACATTGTGACATTTAGTCGACTCGGTCACGTACGAGCTTCAAACCGCAAAGTTCTTTTCGCCCTATATGAGCTTCAGATATGTTGCTTATTTGAGGAAGGAATGTAAAAAACATTTCTTCCACACTTTTAAATGAGCTTGAAAACAATTTTCACGCCTCTGATGCTGGAAATCGGAAATAGGAAAGGATTACTATCGCTCATAATGTTTACGGACGTCGTAAATGCTTTCTGGCGCCCTTAAAATTTAACGATGGCCAGATAATCCACCTGCGTGCGAATAAAACATCGTAAATTTCTTCTTTTTTTTTTTTACGATTGAGCGCAATTCTTCGAGCTGTAAAATGGTATGCTGGATAATTTACGCAGCTTCAGCTCGCATTTGCCATAAAACTCGAAAATAAAACTAATGATGCTGTCTTGCTGACTTCTCGGAGGAAGAGATAAAGTTCGTTTTTCGCGAAACGGAACCGACGATATAAGGTTCGACCCTTCTTCCGCCACGCGTCTTCCGACCTTCCAATTCGATTTCGGGTTTCGCGGCATTCGATTACAAACACCTGTGCTCAGTAGACCGAGTTAACAGACGGGAGAGAAAAAGAAAGGAAAAAAAAGATGTGTGAGGGATATGGATGTCACTTGCACGAGACATCAAGACTTGAAATTATCTTGTCTTGTTTCAAAATTCGAGACAAAATCAGGACAAGATTTTTAATTAGTTATTTAATACGTGTGTGTAGTGTTTTGGGAAGTAAACGAATGACATAAATAATTATAATTATAAAAAAAATGTTAGGTTTTATTTCGGGGTTATGCATTGAGAGAGCAGAGCTGCATGTGATCATTCTATGGATTTCGAAGCAAATTTTAGTAATACTGACTATTCATATATTCTTAACTTTCTGATTGCTCGATACATGTTCTACTCTTCGATTAATTATTAACCGATTTTTTTGCACGCGCTGAAAATGGTTCTAAAAGGGATCAAAACGTACGTTTTTGCGCTTTATGTAGATTATATCTAATTCATGTAATTAATAATCTTATCTGTGCGCGTCTTATTTACTGCACTGGTCCTTTATTGCCTATTTAATTTTTGTTGAATAATAATCTTAAATTATTATATATTATAAAGATTATATGTTAAATATTATTTTAAACAATTGTTCAATATTAGATAAAAATTGTTAATAAAATCGAGACAAGACAATACAAGACGAGATCTTTGCTACAAAATTCACTCGAGATCAAGATTTAAGTTTCCGAAAATTTTCAATACCAATACAATATTTTATAAATATTGTCTTGTCTTGAGTCTTGTGCAATCCTACTTATTTTAAAAATTACATAAGTACAATTTCGCATAAATTGTTAAGTCGCTTTAAAGAGACACAATCTTCTTCTCTTTTCGCACAATTCAAGTCATAGATTTCTTTGAGAGCATCACGAGATGTATGATGTCCAGTGAGATAGTAACTTCGTGATAAATGTCACTCGGACAATAGAACTTCATAGTGCGAGACACTAGTTCAAATTCTCTGTATTTTCACGTCGCTATAATACGAGAAAAGATTATCTACAAGTTGAGACGAATGTACCCTTGGCAGCGAAGGAATTGCTCTTCCCAAGAGTAAACGATTAAATGCGACTACGGTCTGACAAGTAGTATAAGTATAAAGTAGGTCAGACGAATGTTCGCGTACCCGTAAACAGCGCGGTAGATTAAAATATTATTCTCTTCTCAACTAAAACGCGACTTGGAGAAAATATTTATGAAAAAGATATATAACACATAGGGTACAAAGAAAACAATTATTTTTAAGAGAAAAAGTGTGTACTTACTTATTTACAATGTATGTTTTTTAACATTTTAACAATTATTTGTATTTTTTATACCAATTAATTTGTCTCATTATTTTGTACATAAAAGTATTACGGTAAAATCATCGAAAACTAAATATTTTACGAGATATTTTATTTTTTATATCAAAATATGTCAGATTAAGATATAAAATAACTCAAAAAGTACTTAATGAAAAAATACTTTATTATAGTGTTTTGAAAAGCTTTCGAGATAAGCTATAAGAATATGCAATGAAAAATAGGAGGTTTCATTTAAAAAAATTGACTTGGGGCCTATTGTGCCCAACACGGACCTCCGATTCAAAATCAATTGAGATCGTCCATTGGCCCTTTTTAAACCCTACAACTTTTGTCTGAAACATTTTTCTCTAAAATATATTGTTCAAGAGATATTTGAGGCCGTCATTTAAAATGGGACACCCTGTATATAACTAAATAAATAAATAAATAT